ACAGCAGCAGGTAAGCAGTTGGTGTATCCTCACTGAGGAGAAGAAGAGAAGAGATTGGATTTATATCCCCGCCCTTCACTCGGAGTCTCAGAGCAGCTTAGAAACTCCTTTCCCTTCCCCTCCCCACAACAGACACCCTGTGAGGTAGGTGGGGCTGAGAGAGCTCTTTCCAGAGCTGTCCTTGAGAGAACAGCTCTGACAGAACTACGGCTTGCCCAAGGTCACCCAGCAGCTGCAAGTGGAGGCTTGGGAAATTCCCCACTCCTCCTCCACATGCAGCTGCTGGTGTGATCTTGGGTCAGTCACAAGTTCTCTCAGAGCTGTTCTCTCAAGAGCAGTCCTCGAGAGAGCTCTCTCAGCCCCACCTACCTCGCAGGGTGTCTGCTGTGGGGAGGGGAAGGGAAAGGAGTTTCTAAGCCGCTCTCCTTCAGGTAGTAAAAGGCAGGGTATAAATCCAATCTCTTTTTCTTCTTTGTTGGCTGGAGACCAATTGTAATCCTGGGGGATCTTCAGCCACGGCCTGGAGGCTGGCAACCGTAATTATGATACCAGGGCGGTCATCACTAAATCCTGTGGCAGAGAGTTCTGTAAGTTAGTGAGGGGAAGGGTGAAGACATTTCTCTTTGTTCCCGTCCTTGTTAGTTAAGCCCAATTACGAGGGGGAAAATATTTTCTTGACCCCTGCCATCTTGATTTATTTATTTTTTTGGGCCATACTATATAAATCATGACGTCTGGTACAAATAAATAAAAAGCTGTAACAATACTGGATAGCACACTCCTTCCTGTCAACAAAACACACATCGCTTCCTCTAGCTTAGAAATTCTGCCCGTGTTCCTTCCAGGGCCGGTCCCTATACCGGCCTGTGTGCTCCTAGTGGATTAGACTTTAAGACTATGGTCTAGGAGACCCAGGTTCGAATCTCCGGCTCTGCCGTGGAAGCTTGGTGGGCGGCCTTGGATCAGTCACACTCTCTCAGCCTAGCCTCCCTCGCAGGGTTGTTGTGACTCGACAAATGCAGGAGAGAATGACGGAAGCCCTCGGGTTCTGTTATTAGGGAGTCAACATGGAATGTTTCCTTTGAGAGTTGATAAGTAGTCATTGATAAGGACTGGGATGGCTACCAATGTTCCCTCTAAGATGTGAAGTCTTGTGAGCAGAAATTCTACTTTGTGAGCTACTGCCATTAAAGCTGTGAGTGAGTGATTTGGCTACTGCATCAATCAGTTTGCTCTGGAGCCCATCCTTCCTGAGCTATGACAAAAATGTGTGAGCCAGAGGCTCAAAAACTGTGAGCTAGCTCACACTAACTCAGCTTAGAGGGAGCACTGATGGCCACACGCTCAGATAGAGGAAATGTTGTGAAACGGATTGTTCATTGCGCAGCATTCGTTAGCGTGTGAGTGACAGTAGAAGTAAATTTTCTACAGAAAGTACTACAGTAGACGTTTTTGCAACTCATCTTTATTGACTCTTCCCTGTTTTTGTCACGGAGGTTGTTTTTGGAATTCAACCTCCAGGTGGTGGCTGGAGATCTCTCGCTATGGCAACTGATCTCCAGGCGACAGAGATTGGTCCTCTGGGAGAAAATGGCCGCTTTAGAAGGTGGACTCTTGGGTATCAGACCCCACTGAAGTCCCTCCTCTCTCCAAGCTCCACCCCCCCAAATCTCCAGGTATTTCCCAACCTGGAGCTCACAACCCTCGCTTTTAGAGGGTACAGCCCTTGGTTTGATTTGTTCGTTTTTATTTGTTCGTTTTAATTTGTACCCCGCCCTCCCTGCCAGGCAGGCGCAGGGCGGATTACAGAATATATATAAATATATTAAAACAGCGAGAGACATTAAAACAGTAATACAGTTAAAACCACAACATGTACAAACAAGTGCCAGCAAACAGAGTACTAATAAATGATGGCGACGGTCTCGCAGCATCTAGATCATGGGTGTCGAACTCATTTGTTATGAGGGCCAGATCTGACATAAATGAGACCTTGTTGAGCCGGGCCATGTATGTCATAAAACGTAATGCCTGGGAGCAGAGATATAAACTTTATAAAAGGACACAAACACAAAGGTGGTGTTTTTTTTACTTAAAATAAAAAAACATGCTTAAAACATTAGCAATCTCGTAATATTTTGTTTACTTAACAGTGTCTGATAACGGACCCCTCTTGCTCTGAGTTATTGCATCAAAATGTCTGTGCTGCTGCAACCTTGAGGTTGCTGTTCAGGTGTGTATCTGTGAGCTGCAAACCTACGATGACGCAGCAGCAGCAGAACTGGAAGAAGAAGCAGAAGACAGCCAGTTCCACTGCGGGCCTGATAGAAGCCCTCCATGGGCCTAATCTGGCCCCCGGGCCGCATGTTTGACACCCCTAATCTAGATGGTCAAACTACCACCACAGTCTGAGTTCTTGCCAGGCTATTAGATGTTAAGTTGGTACTGATATTGGGGGGGGGGGAGGGCCCGCAGGTTAGAAGGCGGCCCCTAATCAAAGGCCTGGTGGAAGAGCTCTGTTTCAAAGGCCCTGCGGAACTGTACAAAGTCCTGCAGTGCCCTGATGTCATCCGGGAACTCATTCCACCAGTGAGGGGCCGCCACAGAAAAGGCCCTGGCCCTCGTCAGAAAAGAAGAAGAGATTGAATTTATACCCCCCATCCTTCACTACCCGAAGGAGTCACAGAGCGGCTGACAAACTCCTTTCCCTTCCCCTCCCCACAACAGACACCCTGTGAGGTGGGTGGGACTGAGAGAGCTCTGACAGAACTATTGTTTTTCAAGAACAGCCGTGCCAGAATTACAGCTTGCCCAAGGTCATCCAGCAGCTGCAAGTGGAGGAGTGGGGAATCAAACCCGGTTCTCCCAGATTAGAGTCCGCGCACTTCACCACTACACTAAACTGGCCAGCTCTGCCCTGTCCTATTGCAAAGACACTGATATTTATTTTAATACATGTGGCCTAGTGATCAGAGGGTTTGAATCCCTACCTCGGGCCAGTCACCCACTCTCAGCCCGCTCTATTTGTTTATTTGATTTGATTTATAACCTGCCCTCCCCGTGGTCAGCCAGCTCTATTTGTTTATTTGATTTGATTTATATCCTGCCCTCCCCCACAAGCGGGCTCAGGGCGGGTCCTGGGACGTCAGTCGAAAGAGTAATATATTAAAACCCTAAAAGCAAACAAACAACCATTTAAACAAAGCAACAATCAAATGACACAGGAGAGGCCAAGTTCCGTCAGATCGCAGTGAGCTGACCACTGTAGATGGTTCACCGTGCCACAGGGAAGATGCCAGATTCAGGCCCACGGCCAGGATTTTGTGGCTTGTGGGTAGAGTCGCCAACCTCCAGGTGGCACCTGGAGATCCCCTGCTATTACAATTGACCTGCAGATGACCAAGATCAGTTCCCCTGGAGAAAATGGCTGCTTTGGAGAATGGACTCTATGGCATTATGGCCTGCTGAGGTCCCTCCACCCCGACCACCCCCCAAGGTAAAGGTAAAGGTTCCCTTGCTCGAAAGCCAGTGCTCATCTCCGTTTCCAAGCCGAAGAGCCAGCGCTGTCCGAAGACGTTTCCGTGGTCATGTGGCCGGCATGACTAAACACCAAGGCACACGGAACGCTGTTCCCTTCCCACCAAAGTGGTACCTATTTATCTACTTGCAATTTCTTGCTTTTGAACTGCTAGGTTGGCAGGAGCTGGAACTAGAGACGGGAGCTCACTCCATCATGCGGCACACTCGGGTCTCGAACTGCTGAACTACCGACCTTCCACAGCCTGCAGTTCAGCCTCTTAACCACTTGAGCCACCGCAGCTCCTCCACCCCCCAAATCTCCAGGCATTTCCTAACCCAGAACCGGCCAACCCTACTTGTGGGGCAAATGTTTTTTCTGGTGGGGCTGCCATCATTTGTCTGCTTCTAAAGTACAATTGTACTTTTAAGTAACAATAAGGACAATAATACTTGTTTTATTGCTTTTACTGTTTTGTGGACTGCATGTTCTGAGCTGCCCTGTGCCAACTTGCGGCATAGTGCAGGGTATTATTATTATTAATAATAACAATAACAACAACAATAACAATAATAATAATAAATTTCAATTAAATGCAGCACAAACACCCCCACAACAGCCACCCCAGACAGAAATGAAATGCAAAAACATATCCCCCCCTTCCTAAAGCAAGGAAATCCCTCTACCAGCGCCAGATTGAACAGTCCTTAATTTGTCAATAATGCTCTGTCGGCCTCTAAGCGGGCGAGAGTGACAACAGGCGCCGCGACCAGTGTTCCCTCTAAGCTGAGTTAGAGTGAGCTAGCTCACAGTTTTTTAGCCTCCGGCTCACACATTTTTGCCTTCGCTCAGGAAGGAGGGCTCCAGAGCAAACTGATTTATGCTGAAGCCAAATCTCTCGCTCACAACTTTCATGCCGGCCGCTCACAAAGTAGAATTTTTGCTCACAGGACTCCACAGCTTAGAGGGAGCGTTGGCCGCGACCCCGACCTACCTCGCAGGGTGGTTGTTCTGGGGGCAAAAACGGAGTGCGGTTTCTCAGCTGCCTTTTTTTGGGGGGGAGGGGAGGAACCGGGTCTAAACGAAGGTCGTTTTCTGGGAATGAGAATATCCACGCCAAGTCGTGGCGGCGGGGCAAGCAGGGCGGCGCGCAGACGGGCTTCCTCGCGAGTCGGCGGCGGCGGGGAGGCACCGAGCCGGGGCTGGTCC